GGCATGTGTCTTTATCTAGAGCCGCAGGGCACACTGTTCACAGAGGTGAGAGAACCTCTCAACACCTTCATCCTAGTGCAACACAGAGCCGAGTGTGGTTACAGTTTACATCAGCTATGTATTTCATTTAGGACTTTCTGCAGAGGTTGATGCATAATACATGGACACATAATGTATATAGTGAGCTGTTTATAATGCGGTTTGGTTTCAGGTGAGATTCAACAATCCTGTCATTGAGCGGCATCCTAAACTACAACGACAGAAACGAATTTTCCCAAAAGAAAAAGGTGTGCTTGACCTCACATTTTCTCTGTTGTCATCATCATCACTTGATCGCTTTTAAACCTAAATGACATTATGGAGCTATTAACATGAGATGTGCTTTGTAGTTCAGCGTTTAAAAAAGATGTTTCAGACTAATGCGTCATATTTGTATATTAAATAGCTGATTTAATGTCTCTCTCAGGGAAAAATTTCCTGCGGGCAGCACAGATGAATATGAACTTTGCCACTTGGGGGCGTCTAATGATGAGCGTGCTGCCCCCATGCAACAGCACCGTCACTGCCTTGAGCCCCCCTCTGCCTGGTTCTGAGCCCATGTCCCCTCCATCTGTGTCCACGCCCCCTTCCTCTGGGTGAGACATACACCGGTGTCCCTGGGGTCTGGTTGAGGAAAATATATCCATTAATCGGAATAAAAAGTGATTCTCTTTCTGTGTTGTGGCTGTTTATCGCAGAGACTCGGCAGTTGTTAAACTGAATTTCAGTGAGGAGCGTCCTGCCAAGCCCCCGCGCCTCCACTTGGCACAGAACCCCACGACTGACGCATCACTTTCTGGGGTATGTCTTGTGGACAAACACTTGCTTTTTAATTTGTAGTTCTGTATTGCTCTGGTCAAGTTAAAGTTGTAATTATGTGTTTTGGGACTTGTTTCCCAGACTCTTGCCAGAGTGAATTCATCTGAGGATAACCAAGTTCTCAAAGGCAAGCCTGTATCCCAGCCTACACCTCAGTAAGTCAATATAGTATTTATTAGTGCTATTATTATTAAATCTAAGACTAAGGGTTTTGAATCATCCCTAACCTCTTAGGTCTTAAATTTCAACCTGTGACCTGTCCTACATCTTTTGATAGTGAAATAAATCTGGATTCTCTTTCCTGTAATAGCTCTTTTTCTCAGTCTCACTGTATGTTGTATATATCCTGTTTCACAGGAGGAAAGAGGGGATGCAGATGGAGGACTTCAACTGCATTTCTGTTTTAGGAAGAGGGCACTTTGGAAAGGTAAAACTGCAGCTGTCCTTCAGTACTGTAATCAGAAGACTGGATGGTGCTGTTGACTCAATGTCATTGTCGACTCTCATTAAAGGTCCTGCTGGCTGAATTCAAAATGACTGGGAAACTATATGCCATCAAAGCTCTGAAGAAAGGGGATGTTGTGACCCGGGATGAAGTGGACAGGTGATGTTCTGTATCTCCGTGTCAGAAATGTCTTCCTGTGCATCACGAATGGGTTATGGATAATTTGTTGTCTGTTGATATTTATTTTTGCAAAGCGCTAACATGGTTTAATGGGTCTGCATGAAAACAATAAAAGAACAAAAAATTATAGTCACATTTTATATTTTTTATCAAGGGGCTGCTTGTAAGGGTGTTATGTTTGTGGGTCCTTGGAATTGAAAAATTTTGGGTCCTTGGAACTGACAAGAGTGAACACTTCCAACTGTATTTGGCTTGTATTATATTGTGAATTAATTTCATTTTTTTTATAGTTTAATGTGTGAGAAGAGAATTTTTGAGACCATCAATATGTCCCGTCATCCTTTCCTGGTGAACCTGTATGGGTGCTTCCAGACGCCTGACCATGTGTGTTTTGTGATGGAGTATTCACCTGGAGGAGACCTGATGACCCACATCCATAACAGCATCTTCTCTGAACGGCAGGCTAGGTACTCACACACACACACACACACACACACACACACACACACACAGACAGTGTCTGCATTTACGGAAGTGCTACACTTGTTCACACGTTTTCAGACGCACATGCTGAATATTTTTAGCATTGTATATTTTTGCCATTGACACTTTCCTCTGGCTGTGACTGTAAACCGAGGATTTTTCTGGCAGGTTTTATTCTGCATGTGTATTACTAGGCCTGGAGTTCCTGCACCAAAACCGGATTGTATATAGGTATATTATATATAACTACACTATTACTTCTAATATTACTTAATGATTACTAAATTCCCTATTATATGCGTGTATGAAATAATGCATATGATTTTATGGACGATTTCTCTCTTTCCTCCTTGTAGGGACCTAAAGCTGGACAATCTGTTAATGGATTCTGATGGTTTTGTGAGAATTGCAGATTTTGGACTTTGCAAAGAAGGTACATTCTAAGAATACCATTTCTCCTGTGGAACATTTTTTGTTTGTTGATCTCAAATGATAGTATTTGAGCAGAGAGTCAACAAAGTCTTGCTGCCAATCAGGTATGGGACATGGCGATCGTACGTCAACCTTTTGTGGCACCCCAGAGTTCCTGGCCCCAGAGGTTTTGACGGACAGCATGTACACCCGTGCAGTGGACTGGTGGGGTCTGGGTGTGCTCATCTATGAGATGCTAGTGGGAGAGGTCAGTCCTGTTCAAATACAGCTTTACTAAATTGTTGCCATATACTGTAATATTGTTCATGCATATTTAAATGTGCCCTCCACTTGTTCCAAACCTGTATGAGTTTCTTTCTTCTGTTGAACACAAAAGAATATATTCTGAAAATACATTTTGGTATCTGAACAGTTGATGAGCACCATTGACTTCCATAGTAGGAAAAAATAACTGTTCAGATACCAACATTTTTCAGAATATCTTCTTTTGTGTTCAACAGAAGAAAGAAACTCAATACAGGTTTGGAACAAGTGGAGGATGAGTAAATGATGACAGAATTTTCATTCTGGAAGTGAACTACTCCTTTAATTGAAATTCAAATAACATTTCACAATATTATGGTTTTTACTATTTTTCTGGTCAAATAAATGCAGCCTTGGTGAGCATAAGAGACTTCTTTCAAAAGCATTAAGAAATCTTATCCTTTGTGGCTGCCAGTCTCCATTCCCCGGTGATGATGAGGAGGAGGTGTTTGACAGCATAGTGAACGATGAAGTGTGCTACCCAAGGTTTATGTCCCCTGAGTCAGTCTCTATAATACAAAAGGTAAGCACTTATCCCTCTTGGAGAAAAACAAATTGAAATTGAACTGAAACTCCATCTGACTCTGTCTCTTTAATGGCAGTTGTTGCAGAAGAACCCTGAAAAACGACTGGGAGCAGGAGAGCAAGATGCCAATGAAGTGAAGAGACACCGGTTCTTCCAGGTGACGGTCACTAACTGAATAATCTGTGACTACCTCAGTGAAGCTTCTTTTAAATTCTCTTTTTAAAAGCCTTGTTCCTCTCTGCAGGGCATAGACTGGGAAGCCCTGTTGGCCAAAAGAGTCAAACCTCCTTTCCTGCCGTCAATTAAAGCCCCAGCAGACGTCAGTAACTTTGACGAGGAGTTCACTCGCCTGAAGCCTGTCCTGACCCCTCCGCAGACCCCGTTCTTCCTCACCGCCGAGCAGCAGGAGTTTTTTGCAGACTTTGACTTCTCTGCCCTGCACTGACTTCCACTCGATTACCCTCGGAAGGAGTTGTGACATATCAAATCACTGCTTTCTTTTCTCTCTGTCTTCTTTATCCAGTTATTCTCTCTCGTTCTCCCTTGAGATATGCAGTCGAATCAAGTGAAGCTGGCCTCGTGTCACCCTTTAAAAGCTGCTGTACGCTGTTCATGAAACTGGCTGCAAATGTGTGCTTAAGCTCCAAAAGACAGTCCTGATTGGACCATATGATCACCCCTGAACTGTGCACCCACCACTGTGAGTAAGCTCAGATATGCTCAGCTTTTAACTGCCCATCCCTGATATTCATACAGTTAAGATACATGTATGTTTTTGGGTTGGGTTATACCGTTTATCATGTCAGTCTGACCAGCTGTTAAAAAAAAAAAAAAAGAGTAGTCTTCCTGTTACAATGAATTATGATGCCAAAATATACTTGCACTGTTGCTGAACAGATAATGATTGTCAGATTTAGATGGAAGGACTGAATGCTGTGCCATTTTTAAGGATTTCTGATGTAGCGTAGATCCAAGCGATACATGCGGCTGGAGCGTCTTAAGCTCCTTAAGTTCCAGACTGTAACTATCGGCGTGCGTTCTCTGTGTTAGATCATGCAGATTCCTCCACACTTATTCTGTGTGATGTATGTTCATGTTAAACCCTCAGATTTTGATCTCTGGTTGTCCCTAATCTGGATTTGATTTAGGATTGGTGCCCCAGATAAATGTTGCTTGTTGATCAGTTCTCAACTTTCCAAAAGGAGCTCTTTACTGTACTTGCAGACATCTTGTGACTTTCGATTGCAAAAGGTGACTTGCTCTATCCCGCCTTTCTCTTTATAGCCGTCCTCTGGACAAATCTAATACTACTGAATTAGACCAAGCGTATTCTACTCGATGTCTTAGCATGATGCGGTTAGCACATTAACTCACTAAGCTGATATTTAAACATTGATATTGATATTTTGCTCTCTTTGTCATGTTACAGAAGCTTATTACGTTGTTCGTTATTTAAGATGTTTGTCTGTATTTTACTTTTGACTAGATCATTGTATCACTGTAAATGTGGTTTACTACTGATAAGTTACACTGTGAACGAAATGACACTAAAATATTTAAATGAAACTTGCCATTTCTATGAGCCACATGAAGGACAAATAAATATCTAAGTAAATGTAATAGAACGGGATGAATGTATTTTCAGAAATAAAATACAATGTGACCATGTTGTTCCATTTATTGAATACTGATGTTTCAAAATATTACATTGAGGAAAAAAATTGCATAACTTTGATCAAAACAGCACAAATCATTCATGAAATCTCAGCATTCATATTGATACGTTAAAAACACTCAAGTGCAAACAATTTAAAGAAACTGAAATGAAGTAAAAGCAAAAACAATTATTGCTTTTTATGATTATATTATTCAGAAAAAATTCTAATGTTTGGTAAAAGTCACACTATGTGGACTTCATTGTACTGCATTCATCAACAAAACATTACTTTTCTGGCAGTCCGAAATGGACCGAGATCTAACAGTCAAAGGAGTGTCACATGCACTTACATCTTTCTCTCTTTAAGATGCTGATGTGTAATAGGAAAGGCCCTTTTTATAGAAAAATATATAGTTTTTCACCAAAAAACAATGTGTGTAATGTTGAACATTACAGTATTGATTATGTTTGTATTCTAAATTCAGTCTTTCAATGTTAATTTCTTATGTATCGATTGTTATGTCTAGATAAACCAGAACATTTATTCCAATATTATAAAGTCACATTACAAGCATATGGAAATTTCACCAATGATATATAAAGTGCTATAGGAAATTATTTGCATTATAAACATGAACTTCTCGTTACCTTGTTTGAAATGGTTCTTAAAAGGGGATGTCTATTTTCTAAAAAAAAAAAAAAAACACAAAATAAGTATATACAACTATTTCACAATAATTGCACAAAATGATTGCTGATGTAACAGTACATCATCATCTGCTGCTGCTGCTATACAATAAGCTGACAGACTGTCTAGCTCAATTACTTTTGTCCAACAGCTTTTTAGTACCATGAAAGAGATTAGAGGAGCAGAGCCAAGTTAATAAATAATTAGCATATACCATTTTGATATCTCTATGTATTGCATTAATGGGAAACCACAAATCAGCTCTGAAAAACGCTATTTTGATTTTGTGCTTTTTGTTCTGCGTTTGCTATTAAAATGTGCAAAATCAGCACAGACGAATTGTCAAAGTTCTATGTGGGCAAAATATTCACAAAACACTTTAATAAAAATGCTCATTCCAACCTATTTGATTACGCTTGATCAAACATCATTGCAACTACAAAGTTCATGCATTTAAGAATCACTTTCAAAATGGAATGGGAGAAGTAGATTAGATGTTCTGCAGATGCAGTTTGGAGCGATTTCCACCAAAACATCGATTTCCATCTAATGGGTTTTTTGTCACAGCAGTCGTGACTCCAAGGAAATTAAATCGTATCATTGCCTTGCTTGAAATATACATGCTCCCAAACCACCGGTTCCCAAATGCAGAAGAAGCTCCAGAGATTGCGCAGGGTTCCGCGGTCAAAAGGGTTTTCGTCCGCACCGCAGTGCTTGAGGTAAGAGATTCTGTGTCGAGACATGAACTCCCATGTGGTGGTATTCAGGGACACCAGGTACAGGTGAGACCCCAGGAGGAGAAGCACGGTCAGGGACAGGACAGCCACTGCCGCCGCTGCTCCCAGAAGCACACCGTTGGTCCTCAACCACAGCTGCCAGGTGGGAGCGTGACTGAAGCCGGACCTGTACGAGATTTAACAGTACACTCTGAACTGTGAGTCCAGATGAAAGATATTTGTTTCTGAGGGCTTTAATCTTGATGAAATGGTTTGAGAACACCTTTTAGAGTTGGGAACTAATACATTTAGGACTATTATGTCCATTGGCACTGCTGGACATCCCAGGTTATGATGTGTAAGTATTACTACTCACCAGGCCATGTACAGTCCCCACAGTAAGACAACAAGCTTGAAGGGGGTCTGAATACTTTCCGTACCCACTGTATATTACTTTGATCAAAAATAATCTTACAAAATGGAATTACTTTTGATCAAATGAATCAGTGAAACTGAGTTATCATAATATCACCCCCACAATGAGAAATCACATGAAATCCAAACAGCAGTCGACTTAGGAAAGACAGCTGTCCATCACTGCATTCAGCAGAATGAGATTCTCTGCATTCACTGCATTCAGCAGAACATTTCCCTCCTCTATTCATTTTGTTTAGGATATGATTGTGTCTGTGACAATGTTGAAGGGTGAACTCATTTAAAATGTTAAACAAATGTTAAACAAACAAACAAAAAACCTCTTTCTCCTTTGATTACTTTTAACCAATAAACTTTGATTATTTATTTTATTAAAGAAGATTTTCATGGAATGATTGCGGGAAAATGTAAGAACGTAAGAGCCTTCGAACAGATCTTATAATAGTAATAAAAAAAATAAAACCGAATTAACGTGTAATTTTCTTTTCTTTAAGTAAGGTGTGCATTAAATGATTTGCCAAGCTTAGGTTATCATTTTTCTTTCTGCAGCACAATTTTTGTTTGGAAGCATTAAACTAACAGTACATTTTCATCAGTTATTTTATCAGTCATTAAATCAGATACAGATAGAAGCTCCTCTCCTCACTCCACTCTCATTGCACTCCGATCCCATTACTCTGCTTTAAGGTGGCAAAGCTCATTTTTTAGGGTGGCAGCTGCCACCCCGTGCCACACTTGTGGACACGCCCCTCAACATAGGCCGACACAAGTGTATGTACGTCCTGTACTGTAATTGGCATGGTCTGCTTTAGTTTTTCCGTTTGCTCTGCTTGAGCTTGGATGCTTTTATTCATTATATATATATATATATATATATTGTTTACACACTTTTCAAGTAAAAGAAAACCTTGAGATATAATGTAACATTGTTGTTAATAATGCCTAATCATAAGCTTGTTCAGAAATGGTGACAAAAACTTGATTATTAAAAAATAACATCTTTCTTGTTAAACCTCATTTAAATAAACAAATATTTGTTTTTTTATGAGCCCAAATATTCAAATACAATATTTCTGAAAAGTGCCCATCCCTAACATATATATATATAATGAGAGGGTGGGGGGATCCGTGTTTTAACCTGCAAGTCACAGTCATCAGACAGGACAAATCCAGGATCCATAAGAGAAACTGCAAAGTACAGCAACACAGACACCAGGACCAGCAGCACAAAGAGAACCGGCAGTGTGAGCTCCCCCGTCTCCTCCTGTCTGCGGAGGTCTGCATGGAAGCAGAATAGTGTAGTAGAGTGGAATACAGAATATATACATATACACATTAGAATATATTATAATATTTACATTTACATTTAGTCATTTAGCAGATGCTTTTATCCAAAGCGACTTACAAATGAGGACAATAAACGCTGTCAAAACTAACAAAAGAGCAACAATATATAAGTGCAAATGTTATAATAGTATAATACAGTATATTAGAGTAAAATAGAACAGTGGTGTAGAATAGTGAATAGAACTTTTTTCTTTTTTTATTCACTACTAGAATAGTGCAGAACTGTGGAAGCCCATATGACATACTAAAGGCTGGAATACACTAAATGACTGTTAAAATCTGAACAGATTTTAAAACATTAGGCATCATAAATTTGTCACATTTGTAAACAGCTGGCATCATGCACTAAACGACTGCCTGAATCAATCGCCTCACTGTGAGGATGACAAATGAAAACGATATGAAACTGGCTAAAAACTTGTTCAGACTGCAAATCGTGGCAAAAATCTGGGCAGAAGTCTGTAGTGCATTCCAGCCTTAAATGTCAATTATGAGATAAAAACTGTTAGTCATCATTTTGACTTTATCTTATAATTACGATTTAGTCAATCTCCTAATTTGAATTTGCCTTAATTTTTTGTCAAAACTTTTTCTCTCATAATTTTGACTTTTTGTCATAATTTCTACTGTTTATTTCATAACTGACTTCATCTCATAATTTCCACTTTTATGTTATAATTTTGACTTTTTATGTCACAACTTAGTATCTCATTTAACTTTTTGTCATAATTTCAACTTTTATCTCATCTTTTATCTTTCGACAGAGTAGAAAGTGTGCAGTAGAACAGAATAGAATATAGCAGAGAATAGAATGTAAGAGAGTGTGCTAGAGCAGAATAGTTATTGACTGGTAAAGGAAGTGATAGAGGACTGAACCTCAAACACACGGTGATGCAGATACAGGTGTGAAGCAGACTTCAGTACATCATATAGCCGCTGTAGCCATCAAATACCACGTCTATAGATGAGGCAGATATACTCGCAGTAGAATCAGCATCTATTAAGAGCACTTACCGGTGTCGTGGAGGAAGAGAATCAACGTTATAACCCATGTCAAGATGACATGAGCGGTCCTCACCAGGAATCCTGATCCGAACACATTTTTGAACATCCTAGCATACTTCTATATACGCCTAAGCATGCATCTGCTGTGTGCTCGAAATGAAATGCATCTTATTCTCAGAGTCACAGACCTCTAGGCAGCTAGCTGTGTTAGCCAGCTCGTAAGAAACCCAGTTACATTCCAGCTGTCAAGTGAGCTCCTACGCGTCCTACGCTAAATTCCAGAACAATAATCATTTTAACCACAATATTTCACCCTAGCATAGAACTTTTTATGCTGCACATCTAATCCAGCAGACTATAGCATCGTAACGCAACCGAGGCGCGGTACCTCATTTAGATACTGTGTTTCTCTCGCTCTAATAAGCTTGTTGATGCCGTTCCGCTGCTTAGACGTGAATCGGGTAATGTCATGTTTCCTATTGGTCAGCTGTGGTCACGTGACGTCTCGGCTAGAAACTGGGAAGCAAAGGCAGAGAGCCAAAGGAAAAGAAAACAATATCTGTAAATGGGTGTATGATTTTATTGCTATAGTAAAGTTGTATAAAATTATATACTAAAATTATATACTATGCAAAACAAGGCGATACAAACGAATAAAAAGATCACATTGTATTTTGTAATCATACATACATATAAAAAACAATTTTTATAAACAATTTATTCTACTCTAACCTTTTGAAGAATTATATATAATTATGTAATAATAATTGGGGTCAGTAAGATATTTTAATGAAATTAATAGTTGTATTCAACAAGGATGCATTACATTGATTGTGACAGTAAATACATTAATAATGTAATAATTTGTTACAATATTTTGATTTCAAATTAATGCTGTCTATTCGAACTTTCTATGTATCATAAAATCCAGGGGGGGAAATGACGGTTTTAAAAACAACTGTTTTTAACACTGATAATAATAAGAAATGTTTCTTGAGCCCCAAATTTCTTCAAATTTCATGTGACAATGAAGACTGGGGTAATGTCAGCTGAAAAAAACAAAAAAAAAAATTCAAAATATATTAAAACAGAAAACAGTTATTTTAAGTTGTCATTTTCCAATATTACAGTTTTTTCCCCTGTATTTTTGATAAATGCAGACTTGGTGAGTATTTTTAAATATCTTACTGACCTCAAATTTGATTTATTTTTGGTTATTAAACATCCTTTCATTTCCTTTAATATTTGCCTGGCCCTAGACATAATGGCATCCTCCGTTGAAAACACTATGTAGTTTGCACAAGATTCTTGGCTTCATTCTCATCAAGTAGAAAAGGGGACTTCAAGTTCTTCTGTTTCAGCAGCTTTTCCAGACCCTGTGAAACACAGCAGTTAAAATGTAACCATGTGTCATGGAGGGTAAAAATGAAAAAAGGAGAGAAAGAGATGTAGTGTTACAGCTGTCTCTTGAACTCTCTCCTGAGAACAGGACCACTACTCTGACATCATTCTCTCTGTTTCACATCATGCTCCATATGTTCACACTTGCTTGTTATTCTTTTTTCACTCTGGGCCACTTGCCTCTTTTTGTACTAACTGTGACATTTTGTAATCAAACAACTATATGCAAAACTCTAATATTTAGCTTTTCTGATAATTATGTTAACCTAAAATCAAAAAACCGTACTGTTTATCAGTATTAGCAACTCCAGTTTAAAGCAAAGCTTTAATAATTGCATATAAGTAGTCATATTTTTACCTCGCCAAAGTATGATACAAGTGGAGAGATTTCGCAGATTGCTGGGGGGTCTTTATTCTTTGTCATACTGCAAAAGAAAGAGTAGACTGTTATTATAAGTTATTATAAACCACACACCATCTTAGGTAAATTCCTTTTAGGCATATTCCTTTCAGGTCGAAAGTTATTGGATTCATAACAAGAATGAAAATTTCTAGACCATTTCCTGCTCTACACACTGCAAAAAATGCTTTTCTAGCTTAGATTTTTTGTCTTGTTTCCAGCCAACCTATCGAAAAAATCTTAAATCAAGAAGGATTTTCTAGACAAGTAAAAATTATTGTCTTGTTTTCAGAAAAAACAAGTCAAAATTAAGTGCGTTTTTGCTTGAAACAAGCAAAATAATCTGCCAATGGGGTAAGCAAAATAATCTTGTTTTCTGTTTGAAATAAGATTATTTTGCTTACCCCACTGGCAGATTATTTTTGCTTGTTTCAAGCAAAAACTCACTTGAATTCGACTTGTTTTTTCTGAAAACAAGACAATAATTTTTACTTGTCTAGAAAATTCTTCTTGATTTAAGAATTTTTAGATATTTTGGCTGGAAACAAGACAAAAAAATCTAAGCTAGAAAAGCATTTTTTGCAGTGCATCTGGTGTAGTGTATAACTATAATACTTGAGGAAACTTGCAATGTAGCATTTACTGTACATTAAGTGATTTAGAAGACACTTTAAAACAATCTCTGGTAAAACATGATACTTATTTACCTGTTGTGACTTAATATTTTTCTACTGATTTAATAAAGGGTGTTTTGTGTTACCACCTGTGTTTTGGGGGGATGGGTTTATCCTGCTCATCCAGGAAGTTTCCACCAGCTGCTAGTGCCCAGCGGTAATGTTGCGCTAACAAGGATCGGCGTGCTGTAGTTGGTGTGTCCAAAGGTGCCCCATCAGCATTTTTTAGAGGTGAGAATTCCTCCTCTCTCAACACCTCAAAGGCGACAAATTTGCTGCAAAAAAAAAAAACAGATGATGGTGAGGAAGATGGCGATACCCACATTTGCCCAAATTAACAGTAGCTGTAAAACATACTTTGAGAACTGAAAGACGTCAAAGACAAATTTCTCCATTTTGATGCCGTTGGGCTTGGTTGGTTTCACCAGGTTCCCTTCTCCATCCACAAATGGCACTTTCTTGATTGCCACATGCTGCTTCAGCTGACTTTCAAACTTTCTGCAGGGAAAAAGCATTGAAATAGTAATTATTTTGTACAAAGGGCTTTGTTTACAGTTTACAGAGTCAATATGTTGCTAATTCTTTAACAAATGCATGGATTCTGGGAGCATGTGCTTTTTAGGTTTAACCTTCTGACTAGGCAAACTGTTACATTTAGATTTTAGGTGTCCTTGTACAGGTACAACTAATGTTGTACCTGTACATTGACAACAATGAGAGTTACGGTGCATTTGAATTTTAACTTACTTTGTCACTGTTAAAAATGAATACAATTCTGATATACAACATCCACCATGTTGTTACAGTTACCTACACTATTACACATGACCTACCAGAGTCAGTTGCCATTCATAAATCTTCTCATTTTGCCTCATGGGATAGTAAAGTGTCCATCGAATGCACACTTCCGAATGTTGGCGGAAGTTGTAGGTCATCCAGGTACTTTTCGCCTACTGTTTTTAAAAACTATGAATTCAGACATACTACTCATATTTTGACGTACTGTTTTTTTGCATACTATATAGTAGGGAAGTATTCGATTTCGGACGCAGATATTAGGGGTCAGATATTAATGCCATCTTCACCAAGATGTTATTAGATTGTTTACTGATAATTTTTTTATTGATTCTATTATATTACAACTAGGGATGCACCGATACCACTTTTTCCAGTACTCACCCAATACCGATACTTTTATTTTTGGTACTTGCCGATACAGAGTACCGATACCAATATTTTTATTGCATTTGTACATTTTTTAAATATTGGGTACAGGTTTACTTTATTTTGCTGTCCTCACTTACATAAATTAACTATAGCGTCCTGCACCCACCCAGTAAAAAAATATAAAAAATTGCAAAACATCACATTTTTGGTTTGACTGTATATCCTTCGGTTATTTTCACACTTAATTATGGCCATTAAAATGTATTTTACAAGTTTTTGTTACTTTCACTGTTCATTTTTTTGCTCTATGGTACATCATCTTTAATTTAATGGCATTAGAGCTGCTCCATTGCAGCGGCTTAGTACTGTAATCACGCACTTTGCTGTAATAATGCAGGGAACCACTCGTTATAAATCATAAATGATGTTTAGTGAATGCCCCATAAATGGTCTTATTTTTACGATTTAGTTTTAATCCAAATTATGCGTGTGCTAAGTGAGTGAACATCAAAGATCGCACAACAGAACTGCGCGCGCGCTCGCTCTCTCTCTCTCTCTCTCTACTGTTAAGTAACTTGTGCATTGTTTTACTTACTTGTTTATGACATATCCGACCGAACTACAAGCTTTCCAGTGATGTCTGTGAGAAAGATATATTCACTTGACAAGCTCACGCATCTGCGCCGCCGCACGCTCAATCCACTCAGCGTGCTTTGCTCATCAGCTCGCGCACATCAGCTATACAGGCGTTAATACTGAAAGTTTAACATTATATTCATTGCATACATATACATCCTTAATCTCTAATAACTCCATTCTGCTGTCTGTTGTCAGTGTTTCTTTGTCTGAATATGGCACTTATCACATGCTGTGTGGTATCGGCGTTTGGTATCGGGGCATTTTAACGAGTACGAGTACAGAAGCTCAGTATCGGGCCTGATACCGTGCATCCCTCATTACAACAGAACATGATAATTGTAATATAACAAAAAATGGCCTTTATGGACAATGGAAAGTTGACTTAAGAAACACATAAGTAATTGGGATTGTATATTAAAACTGTATATCGACCACATACTCAGCCACTTCCTTTAAGAAGCCTCGGGTAAAGAAGTGGTTGCAGATGTTCCCAGCACTGAACAGGAGCTCTCCTCCTGGTCCTCGCAGCTCTGCGGTCTCTGGTTGGATCTCACTGTACTCGATCACCTGATACAGACCATCCACACGACACACCACTCCAACAGGCTCCGAAGGATACGCCTTATCCAACACCTGACCAGAATAAAGGTAAACATATCTAATTAGGCATAATAATAAATAATAATAATTTAATAATAGTAAAACAATAATGAATGGGATCTAATTTGAGCCTTCACACAGGATATTTTTACCTTGGCACCACAGTCTGCTCCTTTGTTTACACAAAAGCCAATAAAGACTGGGTCTGCCATCTTCACCAAGATGTTGTCCACACAGTACACGTGAAGATACTCCAGACCCCTTCTCTCCATGTCCTCTATAATCTTGTTGTCCACTAGAGCACGATAGAGGCCACCATTTCCATCTTAAGTGAACACAGATATGAGATGCAAACGTCATTTTGTTTTAGTGACTTAAGTAAAAAAAGACATTAATTTAATAATTATTTCGCTATTGTCATACAGCTGATGAAAATATAAACTTTAAAAAATCCTGTTGTATTTTATTTTAGTCATTTATGAACTACCCCTCTCTGACCTGGTGCCATGGCTATTTTGTTCTTCTTTTCCAGGATGATCTTCCCATCAAAGCCT